GTGGAGATGTAGTTTAGTGTGAAGGCCGGGGGTTTAATTGCCAGTATCAAAAAATAACCAATAATGTGTATCACAACTCAGAAAAACAAATTATGATGTCAGATAACAAAAGCCAGTGACTCCAAGTCTAGGTGTCTGTCAGCCTACCTTCTGCAGCATGGCTGTAAAACGCAAGCCCCTTTGGAACGAGGAGGTGAGGAAGGGAAGTGATGCACATGCACACACACACACACACACACACACACACACACACGCACTCGCCAGCTTTCATTACTGTAACACAGACCTGCCACAGAGCGTCTCGGAAAGGCGGATACTTGCGCTCAGTTTGGGAGGTGTTGGGTCACAAGTGTTGCTCTGGCCCCTTGGTGGACACTGTGTCCTGGAGAAGAGCTCAGGAGCCAGATTCCCTCCAAGTGACAGTGCGGGAAAGAAAGGGGCCGGGCCCCAGAGATCAGCAGTCCTGGACTTCCCAGGAGCACCCAGCTGGGGCTAAGCCTTTAAGTCATGGGCATTTGGGAGCCATTCAAGTTCCAAGTACACAAGGGGAAAATGTGCTTTTCCAAATCCTTAAAAATAAGGATAACATCCAGATTCTGAACTCAGCAGAATATTTCTTTCGTCCCTCCCCCATCTCTTAGTTCATTTTTTCTTTCTTTTTTTCAGAGTTTTTTGCTTTGTTTTTGTGGTACTGGGAATCAAACACATGCGGGGCATGCATTCTACCACTGAGCTGCTTCCTCAGCCCTCATTCTTAATTCTTTTTTCTTTTTTTAATCTTTTATTTATTTGGTACAGGGTCTCACTATGCAGCTTGGACTCATAGTGATCCTCTTGTTGCATCCCACCGACCCATCCCCTCCAGCACTGGGACTGTAGGCCTATGCCACCACCCTGGTTTTGGTGGCCACCTTGGCATGGGGCCAGCACAGTACTGGGGTTCGAACCTGGGTCCTTCCACTTGCCAGGCAGGCACATAGACTGCTGAGCTATCCCCTGAGCCCCTCATTAATAATTTTTAACTCTACTTGCACATCAGAATCCCTGGGACGTTTGTGAGGGAACCAAAGGTCAGCCCTTGAGACATAAAATAGACCAATTAAGTAAGTCTCTAAATCCAGTTTTAGTCACTAACCTGGTGTCAAAACCTGCAGTCAGCTTCCTTACCTGGCTCTGTAGTTTGACCCATGTTGGTAAGAATATCTCTACTCTGATAAAGATGTGTTATTTTATTTATTTATTTACATATTTAGTATAGGGTCTCACAACACAGATCAGACTTATAGTGATCCTTCTGTTTTCAGCCTCCCAAGCACTGGGATTATAGGCATGTGCCACCACACCCAGTTTCATTTGCCATCTCAGCATGCCCTGGGGGACGGGGTCGGCACAGCAGGCTGGGGATCTAACCCCCAGGCCCTGTATCTGCCTATGCAGGAGCTTTAATCCCCTGAGCTATCTGGCTGGCCCTAGATGTGTTAATTTACAGGTCAATTGTCTTCTTTCATTTACCAGTGAGAGACCAGGTCTAGGAGAGTTATAGTCAGCCAGCCATTGAGGGGCACAGTTAAGACAGGGACCCTCCTTGCAGGCAGGAATGCAAATTATCTAGCCCATCGGACAGAGAGGGGAGCTAACACCACATTCCTCTACCAGCAGACAACTGGAAGTACCACACAGAGCAATCAGTGTGGACCAGGGCCAGCTAAGAGTGGGCAGAGCTGAGGCCAACAGCTAAGCAGGGGCAATCAGAGACCATTCATGAACAACGTAAAATAGTGACTCGCAAAGCTCAGTGTGCAGGAGAGTCAACTCGGGGCTTCTTCCACAGGGATCTTCCAGGTCCAGCCCCAAGTAGTCTGGCTTCCTTAGAAGGACCAAGTTAATTCTGATGTGAAGTGACTTAAGGACATCTGAGGAGAACCACTAGAGGCACTCATTTATGGCTGAAACTCACTGTTGGCTTCTAAAGAATGACTCTCTGCCGTCTAGAAAGTGAAGGCAGGGCCGGGGAGATGGCTCAGTGGAATAAGTCCTTCCCTGGCAAGTACAAGGGCCCGAGTTCAATCCCTGGTTCCACAAAAAAAAAAAAAAAGGAAAGTGAAGGCAGGTGGGCTGGTTGTTGGTCTATATCTGCCACCACTAGGAGGTCTGAATGTAGGATAGACAAGGGACAATAGCATAGAGCTCACCTGGCAAGACTGAGTAAATTTAGAGCTCATAATTTAAAGATTGATAGCAACCAAAATGTTCATCTGCATGTCTGTCTTCAGTTGTAATTATTTGTGATAAGAATTTTTATATACTGTCCTACTGGTCCAGCTCTGTAACATTCAAGCAACAAGTACAGTAGTAGTGATGCTAGTTCTGTATTATTTTAAAATTTTCAAAGCCTTTATATCATTTTCAAAAAATTGTCTCTCTTGATCCTTCTAGCACCCTGTCAAGTGGATAGAATATGCGATAGTTCCTGTATTTTACGTGGATGGACTCTTCATTCTATTATAAGCAGAGTGACCTTACACAACTTTTTTACTTTCTCTGAATTTTCAACTTTCTCATCTATAAAATGCAAGTTATAGTACCATCTTCATGGAGCTGTTAAATGAAATAACTTTTTAAATGTCTGACATGTACTTGTTGAGTAAATAGACCACCTTGAGGATAAGTAGAAAAACAACTTAAGAAGATGAGGATTTAGCATATGGAACACATACTGAAGTTGAGATCTGATTCTAATTAATGAATAGAATATTGATGGACTTTCGAGCTGGTAGGTTGCCTGGCAACCAAAGCTAACTCAATACCAGTGGCTACCAAAGTTGTTGTTTTTAATCAAAGCAGTAATTAAACAGCTCTTAAGAAGCTCAAGGTTGTAAGCAGACACAAAGATTCCCTTGTGAATTTAGGGTTTTTCCAGACAGTCTGAGAAAATGACACCCCAAAATTCTCAGTGTACATGTGGTAAAATATCTTGGAAGTAGGATTCTCCCCACTTCCATGCCCCTAAGAGACAAAAGATGTTAGTGTCTCGTATGTGGGAGGTGGGGCGAATGGAGAAGATAGATACTGCTCTCCTGTCCCTGTGCATTCACTCAGTCAATGTTCATGGGGTGCCAGGGGTCAGACACACAAAAGCCTTTGTCTTTGCCCCTACTGCCCTTTAGAATTTCAGCTTCCAAGAGAGAAATCTGTCAGCATTAAACAGTAATATAGCAAATCATCTCCTGAGTGGCTGGCTGTGTCTCTAAGCAGTATTCTAGGCATTATGTATTGAGCAGTACAAGGAGGCATAGCAAGCCTTAAATAACCACTGGTAAGATTTTTATTTTCCTGGTAAACCAGTCCTGGAGTAATGTCCTACTTTGGTTTCCCAGCACATTCATACATCCTGATTCACGGCCCTGAGAGGCAGCCAGGCCTGCTGCTGGCAAGGGCTGAGGCTGGGCAGAGGGATCTAGAGCTTCCACTGGCTGGATATGACTTATATCCCATTACTCGTTTACCTCAATCCGGGGACTTCACCCTCTGCATGCTGCTCTTCTTATTTGTAAGCGGGGCATGATGATTTAGATTCCCACCCTGCGGGCGATGAGCCTGACACAGTGAGATAATAAATGTAAGAGTTCTGAGCAGCTAAGTGCAGTTTCTGAGCTACTCATCAATTTGCTACCAGATTTCTATTGCTTTTCATTGAACAGCTTGGTATCTTGTTTTACATTTTCTTTTCCTTTATAACTCACAGGCTTACAGTTTAAAAAGAAAAAAGTGAGCATGATCTCGAAATGCTTGTTTCAATTTTGCACTGAATCTTGTCTCCATCATTTGTGGCTCATTGTGCTAACTTCTTTTGCAGGGAAGATCAACTTTATTGCTATGGAAAGAGATCCATTGTTCCCCTTTGGCATTTCAGCATTTATTTACACACAAACGTGACTGAAGGCCTCCAGGGCCTTCAAGGCTGGCAGTTGGTCGATGAATCATGTTCAGCATTCAGACAGAGCTGCTGGCAGTTACTACAGGGCTGCTCCTGCTCATCAGCTGCCCCTGTCAGTTCTCCCTCTGCTAATAAAGTACATTTGTTTTGGTGATGGAATAAAAATACACCAAGTGCAGAAAGGCTGGGTGTGGAGTAATTTAATCAGGGCAAGTCAGCACACTTGAGCAATACAGTGGTAAGGATAGAAAGATGGCTTGGTAGTGGCTTAATGAGTCAGAAGTAGACTGTGAAGGGTTGGGCCGGAAGCACGCTTCCTCTTACATCCTGCTGGATCACACTTCAGGAATGTATGGACCCCAATATGTCCCCTGGTTAAGATTTGTAGGCCAAGATTTCCGTAAGTTCCCTTCTGAATTAACCACAAATGTTTTACATGGCTTTTCCCTGTTAATTTCATTTTAACATTTAATTGAGGATTATAAATTTTTAAGTCAGTTCAGACCAAAGTTCAGAGCTCTACTAGCAATTCTTTTGAATATTGGCTATGTTCAGTTTCCTGCAGAACTGATTGATTTTAAAAGACCCTAGTTTTAAAAGAAAAACAGCAGGGAGACTGACATTTGCAGATTGGCATTTCATAGTTCTTACTTTGTTGCATTTTTAAAAACTTTTTGTTGTGACAATCTGATAGTATAGAATTTTGTATTTTGTTTATAAGAGGAAACATGTTCAGGATACCAGTCTGCCTTGAGTCTCACTATCTCACAGATGGGGTGGGGAAGAGAAAAAGTAGGGATATGCATAATATTTGAAATGTATTTGAAAACATGTACAAATATCAATATAACTCTAAGTTGTAGGCCTAAGTAATTTTTCTCTCCTCTCTTTCTTTCCTCCTTTTTCTTTCATCTTGATTATCCTGGGAATGTTCTTAGAGTCATCATTCACTGGGAAAAAGAATCATTAACCAAGAAAAACCTCCAGAAACTTCAGGGTCAGCAGTGTCTTTATTTCCATTTCTAGTTCAGGGAGTGATTACACTGGTCTCTTTTCATTCTAGCCAAGTTGTTTTCACCTCTGTGTGTACTGTTTTGCTTCTGTGGGAGAAGATCAGTGATATCCAATACTTCATTAACAGGTGTGCTGGAAATAATCTATTTCAAAAATAAAACACTAAATATAGTACAGAAGTTCAAGGCTTTTGAAGGTTGTTATGTTTTTTAAAAATAAATGTAATGAATCCTTCATAGTGGAACCATTCACTCTTAGGAGAGCTGGTGGTCCATGATACATATGTCCCACATCTCTGTCATTGTCACTGATCCCCTCCTAACTCGGATCACATATGAGCACTTTTATCATATAGATGAAAGGATAGAGAACACATGCACACAGGAACAGAGTCACTAGCATTGCTGACCATGGGATAAGTAAATAAGTAACCAGAGAGTTAGTGTTTAGTTATATGGATTCAACCTTTAACCCAAGATGACCACTCATGCTGCAAAATTATATTCAATTCATTTATTTATTTATTGTATTTTAGGGAAGGGTCTACAGGGTGTCCAGAGTCTCACTACTAGATCGGACTCATAGTGATCTGCTTGTTTACAGCCTCCCAAGAGCTGGGATTACAGGTGTGCGTTACCACGCCTAGTCTCAATTGCCATTTTAGCGCGCCCCAGGGGTGGAGCCAGCACGGCAGGCCCTTCAATTTATTTTTAAAGTAATTTAAATCTATTAGATATTTTCCTAGTATATTATGTGTCCCTGAAATCTGACTCTTGTGTGTTTCTTATGTTTATTGACTTAATACTTAATAGAGATTTTTTTTTTAAATTTGTGTGTGTGTGTGTGTGTGTGTGTGTGTGTGTGGCCAGCTCAGCCCACCAGGGGGTGGGGCAGGCTGGCATGTGGTGCTGGGGGATTGAACCGTGGTCCCTGTGCTTTGCTAAGCTTGTTCTAAGTAGGTGCTTTAGACCACTGAGCCATCTCACCAGCCCCCTTAATAGAGATTCTTTTACTGTCTAATTATAAACACTTTTCATGTTCAGGGGCAGCACATGAACGCCAAGCGCAGAATTCTGCTCTGTGACTCACCGCTGGGTGCTGTCGTATAAATTACTTGGTCTCTGTGATCCGTGAGTGCTTCCTGTGTGAAGAGTAGAGACACGGCCTCCGCTAGTTACCCTTACATGGGTAGACCATGGAGGACCATGAATTTATCCGTCCGATTTTATGAGGAACTGGTTCAAAATTCAAACACCTTGGCCCTGCACTGGGTGATTCTGATCAAGTGTATGTGGGAATAGCTCGGGAAGCTGAAGTTTTAGTCATTTTGTCAAGTGAGTCTGGGACATTGCACATGGCCGTAGAGGCCAACTGATTATAGAGCACTCATCCACCCTGAATAATAGGTAGCTAACTGATTCTAATAAAAACGCTTTGCTAGGACAGAAATTTAATTAATGCTCAGCAGCACTTGTACTTAAAATATTCTAACTCCATAGAAAACAGGGGGTCAGTTTGCATAAGTAATGCTGTTGATTCATTAAATACAGTCCTTCTTTATTCTTTTGGTTTAATTATATCACTTACCCTTTTTTGTCTCTTACACAGGAAATAGAATATTTGTGGACTAGGTCTAAATCAGGAGCCTGGATGAATGAACTTGAAGCTAGCATGGGATTCTTAGTTTTTCAAGACCCGTGCCCACCAAACCTTTGCTCCCTCTGGTTTTGCGAAGACAGAGCAAAATGATAACGAAGACAGAGTAAACGATAATTAAGGCAAAAGCCTTAATTACTTGCTTCAGTAGCATCTAAAGTCATTTGAGAACGGAACACGGTAGTACAGCCATGGAAAAGAATTCAAGCTTATGGAAGAACCTCCTGGAAGAGCACCCAGTCTGCACAACCTGGAAGCCAGAGGCGGAAGGGGCCATCTACCATCTTGCTAGTATTCTATTTGTAGTCGGTTTCATGGGCGGCAGTGGATTCTTTGGGCTCCTTTATGTCTTCAGTTTGCTGGGGCTGGGTTTTCTCTGCTCTGCGGTGTGGGCTTGGGTAGATATCTGTGCTGCTGACATATTTTCCTGGAATTTTGTACTGTTTGTCATCTGCTTTATGCAGTTCGTTCATATTGCCTATCAGGTTCGTAGCATAACTTTTGCCCGAGAATTCCAGGTGCTGTACAGCTCCCTTTTCCAGCCCCTGGGGACCTCTATGCCTGTCTTCAGAACGATTGCTTTGAGCTCTGAAGTGGTGACTCTGGAAAAGGAGCACTGTTATGCCATGCAGGGGAAAACCTCCATCGATAGACTCTCTCTGCTTGTCTCAGGAAGGTCTGTACCCCGGTGCTTGCATGTCTTTCCTCTATATTAATTCTTTATGTTTCTTGGCTAGTCACCCATTTAAGTAGAACACAATCCTGGGTGGCATTCTGCACCCTTGGGAAAGTCTTTGAGACAGATGTCATGGATGTAGAGTTTGTAGAATTATTTACTTAAAGCAGAAAGTAATACTTTTATAGAAGCATACTGTTCACACATAAATGGACACATAAATGTGCAATCTCAAGCCTTTTTTGTCTTAGAAAGTAAATGAGGTGGAATATAAATAAAGGACCATTTTGTATCTATAGATATAAAATAGGATAGATATACAGCTACTTTCTCTTAATCCAATGAGAAGAAAGATTTATACCAGTAGTGTTTGGACAGGATATCATGTCTGCATCTTGTACTATGAATAACCACTATGAAGACAACAGTATGCAATGTATTAATTATTGTAACTGTCCTGCTAACCTGTTTTAAAACTGTTTCATTTCTATTTGTTTCTCAATAAAATTAATAAAAAAATTTAAAAACAAATGATTAAAAAATAAAATTACAACTACTTATATAAAAAAGGAACTTTAAGACTAAATTATGAATTTATCCAGATATGATAGCTTCTCACTGAAAGGCAAGAAAAGTGTGACAGTGGCTTCAAATAAAAGTATACATATGCTGGTAGGCAAACTATTTTAAATAGACTTTTGATAGGGCATTCTTGTAGTAGAGAACTTTCACTTTTATAGTTATCAAACTTATTTAGTTAGTTTTAGCATTTGTCCATTTATTAGAAGTAGGAAGGAGAACCTCAAGAATATATAGGGAAGCTTTGGAGGAGGAAACAGTATGTTCGTGCTTTTTAAAAAGTAAAACTTAGTTTGCATTGCAGATCTCCTGTATGCTCTTAAATGTTCTCCTAAAAATTTTGACTGAAGGGCCGGCGGTATAGCTCAGCCAACTAAGCGCTTGCTTAGGTAAGCACAGGGGGCAGGGTTCAATCCTTGGCTCTGCATGCCGCGCTGGCCCTGCCCCTGGGCATGCTGAGCCAGCGATGGAGCCCGGGCGCGGTGGCGCTTGCCTGTAACCCCAGCACATGGGAGGCAGAAATCAGGAGGATCACTATGCGAGTGGGCTGTGTAGTGAGACCCTGCACACACACACACACACACACACACACACACACACAAATTTTTGACTGTATAGAAACTTTGATAGAAGTATAATATGCACATGTAAGTGGACACATACTATGAATGTCCAATTTGAATTTTCTAGTGCGTTTCACTGAGTAGTCCAGATTTATCAGTAAAGAACATCAGTACATGAATGTCATAGGATACTGGTCACTGACTTATATATGAATTTAATATGTTTCCCTTCAGAATTTTAAAGGATACAACAGTCATTAGAGATCTGAGCCACATGTCCCTTCCCATGTCCCCATACTGCTGTGTATTCTCTCTTCCTTTCACAAGAGATGCTCTTGTATTTTGACAGGATCAGAGTGACGGTCGACGGTGAATTTTTGCACTACATTTTCCCCTTTCAGTTTCTGGATTCTCCTGAGTGGGATTCGCTGAGGCCCACAGAAGAAGGCATTTTTCAGGTAAGGAATACCAAGGCCACCCAGCAGTGCTCTTCCTCCAAGCAGATAAGTGGTGTTTAAGCCGACAAACAAACACAACAGCAAATAACAGAAAACTATTTTATATTTAAATTTGGGGTGTACTTAGAAACACACCTAACTGGCAAATTCTGTTTGACTCCTGCTGATTAATGCCATTTCTTAGACTCTGCAGTGAGGAAAACAAGTATATGTGCTGTGATCAAACTATGCAGGGAATGATTAAATGTTAAAAATGGGGCCAGTAAGATAGATCAGCAGATTAACCAAGTGCCTGCTTAGGCAAGCGTAGGAGCACAGCGACCAGGGTTCAATCCTGGCACCACATGCTGCGCCAGCTCTGCTCCCAGGGCGGGCGGTGCTGGCCACAGAGTCCCATTGTGGTGGTGCATGCCTGTAATCCCAGTGCTGGGGAGGCTGAAAGCAGGGGGATCACCACAAGTTCGAGCTACGTAGTGAGACGCCATAACTAAATACATTTTTTAAAATAATAAATAGATAAATTTTTTAAATCCATTACATTAAAAGACCCATTGCCACTAATTTCCCTGAAAATACTCTCACTACTGCGGGCTGTTCTCCAAAGTCAAAATAAATGATCATAAGAGGTAAACATTTTCAATAAATTTAGGGATCAAGGAAACACGGACAATGCAACTAGAGTGGTAAATAATTTTGCAGCAAAGCTTTTATTTCTAATTCAGATTAAGTTGAAATTAACAGATCTTCCTTTCAATTTTACACGAAGTAGGCTGAATCTAGACCCCTATATCTCACTATGTACTAAAGTAAAATTTATCTTAAAATTTAAATTTCATGGGTGGGCCAAATAGCTCAGCGGATTAAAGTGCCTGCAGGCAGGCACAGGGGCCAGGGTTTGATCCCTGGGCCTGCTGTGCTGGCCCCGCCCCTGGGGGCTGCTGAGACACCACTGGGCATGGTTGTGTGCACCTGTAATCCCAGCTCTTGGGAGGCTGTAAACAGGAATCATTATGAGTCTGATCTAATAGTGAGACCCTGAACACCCTGTAGAACCTTCCCTAAAATAAAATAAATAAAAAATTAAATTTCACCATATTTTCAAACATGCCTCTTAAATGAGAAAAGGGATTGTGGTAAATATTATTAAGTTCTCTTCTGTGTAACTGTATATTGGAATTAAAATACAATCACTGACATTTGACTATACATCAAACACTGCTGATATGGAAGTTTAGAAAATACCAGAGTGCACTTTTTTTTATACCAAGCATCAAACTCAGGACCTTATGCTTTCCAGGCAGGCACTGTGGTGCTGAGCTATATCCCCAGTCCTGCCTTTATTACAAAATGCATGATTTTTAAACTTAATATACTGGTGTACTTCTCTCCTCTCCTCTCTTCTCCTCTCCCCTCCTCTCCCCTCCGCTCCCCTCCCCTCCTCTCCTCTCCTCTTCTCTCTTTTCTTTTTTCCCCTTCTTTTTGAGACAGGATCTTACTATGAAGTTCAGGCTGGCCTTGAACTCACTGTGTAGTCCAGGGTGGCCTTGAACTGGAAGCGATCCTCCTGCCTCAGCCTTCTGAGTGCTGAGATTACAGGTGTGCACCACCACTCCCAGCTCTATTTTCTAGCAATAGAATGCTAAGCTTATATTATTACTGTGCTGTTATATCTAGTAGTTTTGAAAGATAATCATTTCAGTAGGTTCTATTTAGCATGCTATACTGTTTTTCTGTGATTTATACATATATGTACATTTACAAATACAAATTCATATACATATGAAAAATAGACATATAAATTACTTTTTTGCACTACAGAAACTGAAAGTAAGACTACATGTTCACAATCTCAGAACTGACTTGTATATACTTTTCTAGTATTAGCCAACTTTATCTGATGTTTTTAACATCAAGTACTCAAGCAGAAAAACAAGTAAGCCGGAGCTAGGTGCAACACCATGATATGATAATTATTTCTTTTGTGGAGTGCAAATAGCTTATTGGATCCCAGGAGGCAATGGTTGGGAGGTTTGATATGAAACAGAAGAGAGGACCAGCCAGATAGCTCAGTGGGCTAAAGCGCCTACTTAGGCAGAGCGCAGGAACAGGGATTCGATCCTTGGAGTGCCCTGCAGGCCCTGCCCCCATGCCTGGATGTGGTGGTGCACACCTGTAATCCCAGTGCTTGGGAGACTGAAAACAGGAGAATCACTACAAGTCTGATCTATGTAGCAAGACCCTGTAGACCCTGTACCAAAATACATGAAAGAAAGAAAGAAAAAAAAGAAAGAAAGAAAGAAAGAAAGAAAGAAAGAAAGAAAGAAAGAAAGAAAAGGGAAAAGAAAGAAACCAAGTGAGGGTTCACAGTCCAGTAAGCTGCCTGTGTGGGCAGTAGGAGGGGAGGCTCACTGGGAACCTCCACATCATGATAATGATAGATTATGTAGTGAAGTAGTAAAGTCAAGTCATTTTATATGTATTATACAAGTTACATATACAGTAATAAATGGTGTCATTTTTTGTTTCACAATCTATTGCAGTTCAGTAGGATATTTCTTTTAACCCTTATTTATTTAATGCAGCATCTCACTCTGCAGTTCAGACTCATAGTGATCCTCCGTTTTGGCACCCCCGGTGCCGAGATTACCGGTGCATGCCACCACGCCTGGTTTCTGGGATGGCAAGGCATTCAGTACCGGGAATCGAACCTGGGTCCTTGCATTTGCCAGGCAGGCTCTTAGACCGCTGAGCTATCTCCCGAGACCTTCAGTGGGATTTTTAAAGCTAAAACAGGCAGAAAATGAAACTCATTTCAACTTTGGAGCAGAAAAAAAGGGATTGGGTTTCTTGCTTCCTAATCTGTGTTTACGTGCGGCCTCATGTTTTTCAGGTAACCCTCACAGCAGAAACTGATTGCCGATACGTGTCCTGGAGGAGAAAGAAATTGTATTTGCTCTTTGCTCAGCACCGTTACATCTCCCGCCTGTTTTCGGTTTTAATTGGCAGTGATATTGCAGACAAACTCTATGCCTTGAATGACAGGGTATATATCGGGAAAAGATACCACTATGACATTCGGTTGCCCAATTATTATCATATGTCAAGTCCAGAAGTGCCCAGGTCACCCCTCACTGAACCGTTTAGGAATTCTAGGCAATAGTGTAATAAATGACGTCAAAAGCTTAAGTTTTATTACCATTGTAAAAAGACTCTAAATCATTCCCCCCAAAGACATAGCAAAATACAGAAGATGAAGCTCACTGATATTTTTATAAATCAAACTCAAGAGGCAAGATGCCAATGCCAGATGTTTTATTCATCTCAACTGCTGCTTTGTGAATAAATTTTACCAATTTTTTCTGTATCGCTTAGTGTTACAATTGGGAGAAAGGGGTGAGAAAATGAGCATCAGTAGCTTTGCTACATCAGGACCAGGAGTATGGAGTCGCTCGTCCTCAGATATTTGCTTGCTCGGATCTTCTCAAATGTCTCGTCCTGCGTGGCGGACTTGGCATTACTCCTCAGGAGGCAGGCTGGAAGTGTACTCAGCATGCGACTGGATTGCTAGGGTCTACGTAAGCATTTCTAGAACTCAATTTTTTGCTATAACCTCTTGAGGAAGTCAAAATGTATGACTGGTATGCTGCAAGTATTTATTTTTACACGTGAAAGTTGTTTGGTATGACTAAAATGTAGAATAAATACAAGACGCAATATGCTAATCTTGAAGACTGTTTCCTTGGTAGTAAGTTCTAAGCTTAAAGTTTATAATAGCATTTAAAAAGTGACATTAGGCTCAGGGGTTGCGTGTTCAATCCCCGGGCCTGCTGTGCCAGCCCCATCCCCAGGGCGCGCTGAGATAGCAATTGAGGCTGGGCATGATGGCACATGCCTGAAATCCCAGCTCTTGGGAGGCTGTAAACAGGGGGATCACTACGAGTCCCATCTATGTAGTGAGACCATGAACACCCTATAGACCCTTCCCTAAAAAAAAAAAAAATAAAAAGTAACATTACATGGAAAATAAACTATAATTAAAAAGAATGCCCATAAACAAGTAGTAAAAGTTTTGCATTGTATATCCATTTTGCAGGTTCAGATAAAAGAGCAAAGGTCCAAGTCAGTGGCTTGGCCTGACAAGGCAGGGCTTGGGGTGAATGTTCAGCACACCGCCCACCCCCTACTGCCTTCCTCTATTCTTACAGCCTAAAGAAAGAGATATCCTTAGTTGTAAATCCGACCCCAATCTTTGGAAAACTGGTTTTCTGAAGACCATGGGTAGGTTGTGCTCTTTTGTAGAAAGAAACACATTTAGTGAATGGTTACCAAGCGCCTTCTGTGGCTGCAGGTGTTAGCCTTGGAATTGAAGATGCATCCGGTAAAAGAAGGGATCCCATCTCTCATGGAGCTTACATCCAGGGAGCAAGGGAAACAGGTGATAAAAAGAAAATTATGGTTAAAAAATAATAGTACCACAGAGGAAGACAAATGAAAGAAAATGGGTAGGAAAGGGCATTGTAGTTTTAACAGGCTAGTCAAGAAAGGCCTCAGCAAGAAGGTGATGTTTGAAGAAAAACACGAAGAGGCAAACAGTCCATGCTGGTAGCTGGGGGAAGAGCCATCAGGCACCCGAAGTGGGGAAAGGCAGCAAGGGACACAAGAAGGGGGCAGGGGGCAGGAGGCAGGAAGAACACCAGGACAGCACAGGGTCCCATACAAAGAAAGCAGTTCAAGAAGAAGAGACAAGGGCCGGCGGTATAGCTCAGTGGACTAAGCGCTTGCTCAAGGAAGCACAGGGGCCAGGGTTCGATCCCTGGCGCCGGTTGCTGCGCCGACCCCGCCCTCAGGCGTGCTGAGCTGGCGATGGAGTCCTGGCGCGGTGGCGTGCGCCTGTAATCCCAGCCATGGGGAGGCAGAAACCAGGAGGATCCCTACAAGCTAGGTAGTGAGACCCTGCATAACAGATGATCTTAAATGTGGGCAGAAGTCAGATGTGGTGTAAACTTGCTAATGAAGAATGGGAGTTAAGATATTGAAAGGGCAAGAGGGTTTTGATGGGAAGGAAAATAGGGTCAAGAGGGGTGGTTGTTCCCATTGTTCTAAGGCAAGAAAAATAGTAAATTTGCATGAAGATGAGAATCTTCTTCTGGAAGTTAGGGGTGAATTCCTAGAGTAATGACTTTAAGCAGAGAGGGAAGATGGGATTCAGTGACCTTAAATGGCAATTAAAAACAAACAAACAAGGGTCTGCGGCATAGTCAGCAGACTAAGCATTTGCTTAGGAAAGCGTAGGAGTCAGGGTTCAATCCCCTCTGGTCCTGCCCCTGGGCGCACTGAGCCAGCGATGGAGTCCGGGTGTAGTGTCGCATGCCTGTAATCCCAGCAGAAACTAGGAAGGCAGAAATCAGGAGTATCACTATGAGTCTGAGCTTCATAGTTAGACCTGGCACACAAAAAAAGGTAGCTTGGAGGCATGGATTCCTGCCTAGCAAGCCCAAGGTCCTGAGTTCGATCCCCGGTACCACAGTAATGGAATGCCAGCTGTGTGTGTGCTAGCACGGAACAGGGCGTGGTGATGTACACACCTGTAATCCCAGCATTAGGGAGGCTGAGGATCACTACGCATCCCAACTGCGTAGTCAGATCCTGTATCCAAAAGGAAAAAACAAACAACCCCCCCAAAAAACAAAACAAAACAAAAAAAACCCCAAAAAACAGGACAATTCATGGCAAGGAGGCAGAGGGGCACTCTAGAGCGTGCAGCTTCTGGCAGATGGAGCTGTGCACAGGGAAAGCAGCACTAGGGTGATGTAAAGTGAGCTAACACGCAGAAGGCATCACCACCGAGTGGGACAGCATGACAAGAGCTATTCAAATTCAGCATGGCTGGAGGAAACAGCTGGGAAGTTTTCTTCTATCTTTGGCCATACAGATTCAGGGGTACCTGCCAGTGCAAAGTCTTCAGGAAGTACCAACTGTCTTGTGGGTGGGCTTTGTGATGGCCCCAGGAGAATTTAGTGTAGTAGTATAAAAGGATGATCAAAGAGCAGGAAAGGGGGCCAGCAAGATAGCTCAACGGCCTAAAGTGCCTGCTTCCACAAGCTTAGACAAGCACGCAGGGACCTCAGTTCAATCCCCAGCACCACATGTTGCGCCAGCTTCATCCCTAGGGTGGGCTGAGACAGCCACAAAAAAAAAAAAAAAAAGATATGCTTCAAAAACTGCAGAAATCTTCACTGCAGGTAGAGCTGGCACTATTCCTTCATACTAACAGACAAGCTAGGATTCAACATCTTGAATCTCCACCCAAGTTTTCTCATTAAAAAGAAAAAAAAAAAAAACTACAGTGACTTCTTTGTGACTATATGGTATGTGTGGTCTGGCATAAGAGATCCAGAAAACCCCATTTTATTATCTCAAAATACTCTAACCCAAAGCAGAAGTGGTGAGCTAGGATGGAACTCAGGACTTTGTGCTTGCCAGGCAAGATGCCTCTGAGCCATCTCTTTGGCCTGATGAATATTCTAGAAAAGTACCCCTGAGTTGTAACACCATAGTGTATTTACATTTTGACTTCATTAAAAATCAGACTAATTGCCAGGGAGATGGCTCAGTGGAATAAGCGCTTCCCTGGCAAGCACAAGGGCCTGAGTTCAATCCCCAGTTGTGCAAAAAAAACCAAAAACCAAAAAACAAAACAAAAAAAAAATCAGACTCATTTTAGCTTCAGCCTAATTATTTGCATCCCTAAATTTCTGTGGTTCTCTCATCATTGATAAGAGTGTAATAAGAATTAAAAAATGGAGCTATGTTAAAAATATTGGATAAGTTGGCAGACAAGCTCTTCATATTCATAAATAAATGGTGCTCCTCTTCAGAAAATATTAAGAACTTAAAGATGGAGGGCTAGCGAAATACCTCAGTGGTCTAAAATGCCTGCTTAGGCAAGCTTAGGCAAGCGTGCAGGGACCTCAGCTTGATCCCTGGCACTACATGCAGTGCCAGCCCTGCCCTCAGGGTGGGGTGAGCAGGACACACACACACACACACACACGCACGCACGCACGCACGCACGCACACACGCACGCATGCACAGAGAGAGAATTTAAAGATAGAGATAGTGGAGCATTGCACCAAATCCGAGGCTCATCTATGGCTGAGACCTTTGTGAAGCTTGGCCTGGCCAAGAGTTGCCCTGTGTGTTTAAGTAACCGGAATGATTGCCTTGTGATTTGTGATTTTCTGTTCTCAATTTCATGGTTATGAGGGACTCCTGAGAAGTTGTAATGGATAAAGAAAGTGATTTTGACACAAAATGAGTCCATAAACCCTGGAACCCCAGTCTTCACAGCAGGCTCCCTGAGGCTGCAGGGCCTCTCTTGCAGGCTGCTACCTCCAATGAGTTTCTGGAGATTTCCCCGCCAGCCCATTTCCTGAACCTGATTTGTTTGACCTTGTAAATTGGAGAAAAAAACCCAATGTGATCTGTCCTGCAATCGCATCCCTAGGAGCTTATCGCCCTACCATTAATCTACTGTAAAGAATATTCTGATATTGTCTAAGTACTTACAAAGAATTTTGCTCTCCTCTTCAACAGAGAAGCAAAAAGAAATTAATTTGCTCTCTACTTATCTGGATAAGCTCTGGATGTCACATTATTACATCCCCACAGACCTACAAGGACAGAATTGATTTGACAGAACATTTACAACGTGAAGTCTCCTGACTACAAAGACAGGAATCATAAGAAAAATAAACTAGGCAGACAGTGCATATTGTTGTAAAGCAATACATTGTACAATATGATATACACAAGGCACCTGGTTTGACCAAGGGCATAAATTTATATGTGGCATAAATGGTACTTTGGGCTCGTGTTTCTCCACCTTGTACATTATTCAAGAAACTAACTTTTGGAAATGGTGTCCCAAATTAATATTCTTCTAACAGTTTGTGTACATAAAACCATCAATAGGCCCAATGAATTCCACTATTTTTTATTTTATAAAATTTAATTCATGCATACAAAAACACCACAAATATTATCATATGGACTTATAATAAAATGCCTAATTTGACAAAAATTCATGTAGTAATGAAAAGATGTGATGAGATTGAAATAATTTGGTTCTTAGTAATTTCATCATGAGTATTATTATTTTAATGATGAATTGTGCATATGCATGTAATGTTAGCGTGGTTGAACACAATTTGAAGTTTTATTATCATGCTAAAGTTCAGTGATTTAAAAACCTGGTAGCTACTGAAGATTGACAGGGGATTTTTTTTTTTTTATTTTATTTATTTATTTATTTATTTGTGTGTGGGTGGGTGTGGCCAGCTCAGTCCACCAGGGGGCGGGGCTGGCTGGCATGTGGTGCTGGGGGATTGAACCGCGGTCCCTGTGCTTTGCTAAGCTTGTTCTAAGTAGGTGCTTTAGACCACTGAGCCATCTCACCAGCCCCCGACAGGGGATTTTAAAACATCTTTTCCCCCTTAAAAGCTAATTTGTGCCTTGAACTGTAATCACAAGTATGGTGATCTACATAAGTATACTTTCATTTTATTCATAGGCCTCCAAAACATTTGTTTTGACATAAGTTTATAGTAGGATTTAAGCTCTACCAGATATAACACCAGATATTTTGGGTCATCAAAATTAAAATTAGTACTCATTAAATGAAAAATTGTCTCCCACATCATGCAATTAGAAATA